GAATGCTTCCTGACACGCCTGAGTCCATTCAAATTTATATTGATTTTCAGTAAGCAAAAACAGGGGTTTTGCTATCAAAGAAAAACCTTTTACGAATTTTCTATAGTAGGAACAAAATCCCAGAAAACTACGGACTTGCCTTTTATTCTGAGGAATAGGCCAATTTTCTACCGCCGAAATTTTCTCGGGGTCCGTAGCAACACCTTGTCCAGAAACAACATGTCCCAAATACTTCACTTTCCTACCAAAGAGGGAACACTTTTTAGGATTGATTCTCAGGCCCGCTGAACGGAAGCGAAGAAAAACCTCTCTTAAGTTTGATAGCATCTCTTCAAAAGTTTTACTGAAAACAATAATATCGTCCAGATAGACTAAACAAATTTTACACAAGATGTTCTACAACACCTTTTCCATTAAACGCTCAAAGGTCGCTGGAGCATTACATAAACCGAAAGGCATTACCTTGAATTGCCATAATCCGTTTCCTACGGAAAACGCTGTCTTTTCTCTATCCAAAGGATGAATTTTCACCTGCCAGTATCCACTTTTCAGGTCTAAGGTCGAAAACCAAGAATTTCCAGACAACTGATCCAAAATATCCTCAATACGTGGAAGGAGATAGGAATCTTTGATGGTAACAGCATTCAACTTCCGAAAATCCACACAAAATCTCAATGATCCATCCTTTTTCTTTACAAGGACAGGAGATGTCCATGGGCTTTGCGACTCTTCAATGACATCCTGAGATTTCATTTCCCGAATTATACGATTAACCTCCTCTTTGAGATGTAAAGGGATCCTGCGAGGAGCCTGTTTGATGGGATTAGAATCTTTTAGTTTAATAACATGTTCTAAAATTTCACAATTTCCTGAAGTTCCTCCAAAAATATATCTTGGAATTCCCTCAGGAATTCAGCAAAAAGATCCTTTTGGAAAGAATTTAGGTCTCTAGAATTCTCTTCAAATAAAGTTTTCAAAGAACACGGGACATCTGAAATGATTCGTTTACAGGGGAACTCAAGGGCCTTTTCAGGATTACCAAAAAAAGGATCGAAAATTTTTTCCAAATTCAGCATTTGAAGGAAATCAGCTCCCAATATACAATCGTCAGAAATATTTGCAACAAGCATCGGAACATCTAAAGAAAACTCCCCTAATTTAACTTGGACAATGACTTTAAAAAGAATCGAAACAACTTCTCCCGTCGGGTATCTAATAAAGCTTTCCCTAACCTCGTACCGCCGTCCTGGCACTTTAACCAGGTTTTTATTCAAAACTGAAATATCGGAGCCCGTGTCAATTTTAAAATTACAGCTATTATGATCAACCGAACTCTTGTAACAAAACAAAAACGAATCTTCTCTTATCCTACCTAAATTAAAATATTTTTTATTTGGGGCATTCATTTCCCCAGTCGAACCCGCCCCGGAAAGCTCGACTAATTCTTGTTTTCCTCATATGACGGGCATTCTGATCGGAAGTGCCCCTCAGCGCCACAGTGCCAACACTCCTTTTTTGACTCAAAGCTGTTCTTCCGAAATTTATTATTCTTATTCTCTAACCTCCCTTTACCGTTTTCGTTTGTTTTCGCCTCCCCAGTCTTTTGTCCGCCGAATTTGTTATTAAATCTGTTATTAAATTTATTATTAAATTTATTAAATTTGTTTTTGGGAAAGCTATTTTCTTGGATGACTTTCACAGCCATCGCTCTTTCTACCGCGACTTTTAAGGAAGAAATATTCTCTAACTGTAGAGTTCTCTTCAGAAAGCCGTCCGTCAACGCGGCTATAAATTGAGCGCAAGCAATTTTATCCCTGACCTCGTGGGAGCATTCGGGGTAAGCGAGTCGAGATAGTCTTTCTAGATCCGCGCCCAGGGTAGCCAAATCCTCCGAAATTTTCTGTCTTCTATTAGTGAACTGGGAATAAAAAGACTGAGCCAGATGCCCCTCCCCGAAACGTAATTCCAATTTTGATTTCAAATCCTCGTATCCCAAATTCCCGATTTCGAAAATCCCATCTAAAACCGAACGCGCTTTATCCCTTAAACAAGCTGCCAAGGCTACAGTCTTGTGAGAATCGCTCCATCCGTTGGCACGCGCAATCAACTCGAATTGAGTAAGAAATTCGCGCAAGGAAGCACTTCCGTCGTAATTATCGGGTTTAAGTTTGAAACCGAGCTCGAGTGAATGTAAGTCCGCGTCGCGCGCTCTAATATTGGAAGGACTTAGCTGTGGAGCTGATGGTTGACGCTCTCGCTGAAGGCTCTCCTCCAAACGACGGAGCTCGCCGTCCTTTTCCCGGAGCTGCGCCTCGAATTCAGCGCGCATCTGCCCACGCTCCTCTCGCAGCTCGCGGATCTCCCGCATCGCAGCCTGGAGCGTGGTCGCATCTAACGACGGTCTTGAAGAAGGAAGCGGGGTCGCCGCACGGATCCTTTTGCGCGTAGAGACGCCCGTCGCTGGTTCTTGCAACTCGAAATTGGTAGCCATCTCTCCGTCCTTTTTGGCACAAAACGTTGCTCGGAAGGAATTACCGCGAAGTCCGTTCTATCCCGGACGAGCCCCCAAAATGTTACGCCCGCGGCGAGGACTTCGATTAATATCGAAGACGCGCGCGAAGAGATCGGCCGCCCGCGAGTCGCGCGAAATGAATAGACACTTTTAAAAGGAACTTGGAACTCTTTAATGTACAACACCACAACACAGAACACTACAAACGGTAACACAGAACGTAATGCACAATATTAGCAATTCGGCTCGGCTCGATACACAAACGCGTCCGCGCAGCTTGACAGCTGGAACCGAACTCAAATGACAGACGCTGCTGTCAACAACCTCTTGACAACGCGCTTCTTCTCGTTAATCGGCGCCGTCCCGATGAACACGGACATCAGGGCCGTAACACTATATATATATATATATATATATATATGTTCCACGTTGAATAATGAAATTTTTTTATATTAACTTGGAAGTTCATGCTAAATGTTATAGAATGCCTTTTTGGAATTCTACATCAATAGATGATAGTGACAATCACGAAGAAGATCATTCGTTTTGATATGTTGTCGATGCTATTGTACATAACGAAAAAGTGTAAAATATATCTTTGCGACAATCTTTGAAAATCTTTGTCTTTAAAGGATTGATTTTCTTTTTTGCATGAACCTTTAAGCATTTTTTATATTTTATTCTTTTATTTGCTTTCTCATTGTTAGTCTATTTTTTCTTCTTTTTTTCAACACAAATGATTGTTAATTTAGAGAGTACGATATCATAATCTTTTTTGCATCACTCTTTTCTTTTTATTATTGTTTACTTTTGGTACTTCTATACACATAATGTATATTTCCATCACACACATAATATGCATGTTTACAACAGGACAATTTTCTTAATAGTCTATTTTGAGTTATGTGCTGTTTAAATATTTTTAATAATTTGAGTACAGCTTGATTTTAATATATATTATTAAAATGTTAACATTTAAATAATACTTTTTTATTTTTTTCCTTATTTTTTTCTTACTTTTTTATTTTTATTATTTTTTTCCTATTTTTTTCTTATTTTCTTTTTTATTTTTATTATTTTTTTTTCTTAATTTACATTTGATGCTTGTGAGAAAAAGTTAAAATATGATGCAATGCATGTTTTTTTTATTTTTAAAGATGATACATATCGAATTTTATTTCTGTGTTTAAATAGATTTAATAACTATTTAATTAAATATTATATTTATTGTGTATATCATATTAAGGCTCCGGAGTAGTCACCGCGGCCATCTTGAAATCGTGACGTCATAAGCGAAAAAGGACACCCAGATTTATATTGCGACTGACATCTAAATAAAAACATATTTGAATGAAATAAGACTACCAATCTCTTCAGCACACCTGTAAAAATGGACGGATACTAATCCTTTCCTTTGACAATTTATAAATAGCCGTAAATTGAGTCCAAAATGAAGCCTTGAAAATGCGAAAAAACACGCGATTTGACAGCTGTCGAAAGGAGAGAAAAATGTTACTTTCTAAAGTTTGTTCCTTATACAGCTTAGTATCCGTCCATTTTTACAAGTTTTCTTAATACATTGCACACCACAACACTAGCACAAAGCAAATAATTATGAAATGGGACGCAACGTAAATTGGGCTGTCATTTCTCGCTTACGGCCATTTTTCTCGCTTAAGGCCATTTTTCACGCCTTATAGTTTACTGATTTATAGCAGTGAAACGCTGCATGAGAATTTTGACATGTAGGTAACGTGTGGGTAATATGTCGATACCATGTAGGTAACGTAGAAATATTTAGACATAATGACCCTTGAAAAATGGCAAGCAAGAGAAATAGGAATAGGGAAGAATATAGGAAAGAGAGGAAAGATATTATTTATTATAATAAAAAAAATTAATATTCAAATCTTCATGTCATATATTATTTTATTATTATTATTTTTTAATACATATATATTATCATTCTTATATTATTAATTATTATATATATTTTTTTTTAATTTTTTTATATTATATTATTTTATTTTATATTTTTTATATTATTTTTATATTTTATTTTTTTATATTTCTCAACAATAATTAAAAATGAAAACTGGCCCAGATCCAGAGCCAGATCCTCGTCCTCTCCATCCTCCTCTTCCTCCTCTCCATCCTCCTCTTCCTCCTCTCCAGCTTCCACCTCTCCATCCTCCTCTCCAGTCTCCTGTACCGTCTCTTCTCCAGTTTCCTCTCCATCCTCCTCTCCATCCTCCTCTCTTCGCTCTTGTTGAATAATAACTAATGAACACAGAAAACGTAGCAATTAAACAATTAAATTAAATGTACAAAATAGAAATAATTTTAAAACTTTTTATATATATTTAAAAATACATACTTTTTATTTCTCTCCTTTAATGTAGTTCCTCCTCTTTTCTTCTCTTTTCTTTCATTTTCTTCGTCAGTTGCTTCTTCTTCTACACTCATCTCACTTTTGTCCTTTCTTCTTTCTTCTTTTCTTAAATCTTTTTCCAATCTGCAAATTCAATCATGTCGTTTATTAAATGTTTTATTTACAAGACTTTAATTTAAAGAATACTCTAACAAAAAAAAGAAAATAATCTAAAAAGAAAACAATACATGTTATATATATATATATATATATATATATATATATATATATATTGTATATATATATATATATTTATATAACATGTATTGTTTTCTTTTTAGATTCTTTTATATATATACACACACACATATACAGTGTTGTGCAAGGTATTTTATTTTCAGCACTGAGGTACAGGTATAGGTACTCTGGAAAAAATGTACCGAGACAGAGGTATTTCATAATATGAAATATCTCTACCTCGGTACATTTTTTGCAGAGTACCTGTATCTGTACGTCGATACATTTTTTCCAGAGTACCTGTACCTCCCTAGTAGCAGAATGACGTCAAATGACGTCTTAATACCGTCTTAATGACGTCATAGACGTCTTTAAGACGTCTTTAGATGTCATCTTGCTACCTAGGCTGTACGTAGGTACTGAAAATAAAGTACCTTGCACAACACTGCACATATATATATGTATATACAGGGTGACCCATTTTAACTTAGGCAGCCAAATAACTCGAAAAATAAGCACACTACGAAAAAATGGTTAGAATCAAAATTTCGTCATTTCGAGGGGGACGTACAATGACGTTAAAATCAGCCCCCCCACCCCTCCCCCTGGGCGGTGAGGGGGGGCAAGTTTGAAATCTTAAATGGGAACCCCTATTTTTCATTGCATATTCTTGTAGCTTATCTCGAGAGCTTTCCAAAACACTATAATTAAGTACCTTTTTATTAAGTACTTTTTGAGTTATAAGGCTTGAAATAATTTCTTAATTTTACATAAACCATAAAATATCTAGTAAACCATTCATTTTTCGATTATCTTACCTTCATACTTTTATGTACAAAATAATGAGAGGAATCAATTGGTGTAAAGAAAACATACAGTTGTTTTTAAGAAAAAATATGGAATTGTTAATTGCAAATTACATATTTTTTCTCGCGAAAAAATTTTTAAGACATATACACATATGCCAAGTTATAGATTCTCTTGGTTTGAGACTTCTATAACACCCCCTTTCGCGAACAATTAATGTTCGAAATAATTTACGCATTGCCATCCGCGTTTTGTAGGCTCTTAGTGCTCTTTACTTAATTATCATGTTGTTAAATACATAGAGCCGTATTATTTACCAATTTATTTAGAACTACACGTCGAGCTGAAATGATCGTGTTCTCATTATTTCCACAGATTAATAAAAACGGACAGGAGAAGTGTCGGTGTGGGGCTGAATAGCTCAGTGATAAGAGCAGTCGCCCGGCAAGCGAAAGACTCGGGTTCGATTCCCGATTCAGCGACTTCGCCCCAATATTTTTCCTGTCTACATCTCTCCAGGGGGGTAAAAGGGGGTGTTATAGAAGTCTCAAACCAGAGAAGAGGGTGTTATAGAAGTCTCAAAGAGAATCTATAACTTGGCATATGTGTATATGTCTTAAAAATTTTTTCGCGAACAATTAATGTTCGAAATAATTTACGCATTGCCATCCGCGTTTTGTAGGCTCTTAGTGCTCTTTACTTAATTATCATGTTGTTAAATACATAGAGCCGTATTATTTACCAATTTATTTAAAAATATTCATGTAATTAAAAATTCTCCGATTCATATTGTATTTGGTATCATTTTAATCGCAAAAGTCTCATTAAAATTATTTTCCAACTTGCGATAAAATGCGCAATAAAAAAATTTATTTTTTATAACAAGATGACATATAATACGAAAATTGTAGTATTATATAAGATATATAATTATTATTAATTACATATATATTATTATTATATATATATAATATAAGATATATAATATTATATTTATTATAAGCTTCGATGCTCGCGTATATATATATATATATATATATATATATATATATATATATATACGCGATCATATATATATATATATATATATATATATATATATATATTTATATTTATTTCCCTTCGTATGCTTTACGATTCGATTTTCGAGCCGCGTCGTCATTTAGATATCACTAATATGACCACTAATGAAGATTTATCGGGAAAATAAATATAAGAAAGTTTTTTTTTGTTTAAAATTTTTAATGTTAATTTATTTAATAACTATATATTATCATCATTTCTCTGTCATTAGGTGCTTTCCTTTTACATCAAAACTCAAATAAATATCACTTCTGTTTTTCTTCAACATTAATGTTAAAGAAAGACGGAAGTGAGATTTATCTGAGTTTTGATATAAATGGAAAGCACCTATTATTATAAAATAACTGTAGAACGACTTACCATATGATCACTGGTAAGTCGTTGCATATAGTTCTTATTCCTACCGCACTCTCAACCTATGTCGCCACCGTCAACTCAGAGTTTCACGATGAGTACTCCGGAGCCTTAAATCGACATATTTTTTTTGTCACAAACAGATGAAGGAACGTCCAAAGCGCACCGTTGCTTCCTGCTATCGAACCACTTCCTCGGATGAATCACCGAAACACAGGAAGATCCCATCAAAAACCGTCACATCTGAAGACATTGACGAGGGCATCAGTCATCTAAGAATTTTTGAGAATTCAGATAATTGTACCGATATGGATGAGAATAATTTTAATACTAATGTTTATACACAATCACACAAACATACAGACACATATTTCTACACATAGGTAATCACAAACAAACATTCAAGCTTATACATCGATTATAACACATTTAACATCACATCCACACACAGCTATCAACATTCAACCTTATATATCTACTGTAGCATCTTCATCATGTTCACACACATTTATTCACGCCATCGATACATACATTATCCGCACAATCTTCTATGGTCAGTCATACAGATAATACATATCAGTTTCAAAGTCAAAAACGTGGCCGGTACGGAAAAGTTCCCAGATAAATAAGTATCAGGTGGCTCGTGCTGAAATCCCATACAAGAAACGAATTACAATCGGTAAATTTATATAAATATTTATAAGAATAATGATTCTTAAATAAATATATTCATTCGCGTTATATATTATGTATTATATATTATATATTATGTATTATATATTATATATTATATATTATATTATATTATATTATATTATATATTATATTATATATTATATATTATATATTATATTATGTATTATATATTATATATTATATCGCGTTATATTTACATGTAAACGTTATTCGTTCGCAAGAAAAATTAAGCAGCATTGATGTCGAGCTTAAATAAATAAATCAAATGTATTGTATCTATTAACATGTGATCTCTATAATATGCTTCTATTATACTTTATTTACAGAAGAATGATTGGGTTGCTGCAAAATCTCTTGAGATGCATGCAAAGTAATAATGATCGCAATTCCGTGCCACGTAAACCTCTTGTTTGCTCATATCCGTAGTCGAGATAGATGCGTTTCAAACTATCGATGATAACGATTATTGTAAGTAAAATATAAAATAGATATAAAAATTTTCTATCATGAAATATCCGTTAATATCATTTTTCAACATTTTGCTTAGGTAGATTTTTCAAATATCGGCGGGTTTTATTTGAAGAAAGCAATAAATTTGTATCTAAAAGAAAGATTACAAAATTCGATAATGCCATCATTTACTTGGTTGGAAGACGCGAAGAAAATCAACGGCTATTGTATAATACTCGCTTTAATTGCAATTTATGGTATGAGCTTTATTTTGCAGCATTATTTAACATTAATATTGGGTCCATTCAGGAGCATTGAGCACTCAATAAGTAACGAACAATTGTTCGTGATTGATCTACAAACAAAATCTGAAAGAATATCCCTAACAGCACACGTAGATACTGAGAATGTTCGAAGAATATCGCAAAAGTACAATGCATATATTCTCAGAACATTCGAGATACATACTATGATATATTAAGTATATACTAAGAATGCTCTAATGTCCGCCTATTTTGGTTAATAGTAAATACTGACAATGAGAATATCTTGCAGTATAATTCATATATGTAATATAAATACTTTTGATAAATGCCGTAAACGCACACACTATTTCTCATTTTAATTTCAAATAATCTTTTTAATATTCTGAATCCCAATCAAGAATCCAGAACAACTAAATTACTAAACAAATTTTAAATTAAGTCAGCTTATTATAAATTAAACTGACTAAAAAGAAAAAAGAAGAAACTTTAGAACTCATGTTAAATACCAGTCCTTTATGTCCATTTCACCAAAATTAAACTACGAGTTTGGTAGCGCGCGTAGCGGCAAAATGAGGAAACACATGCAATATTATAGAATATCCGGAAAATATATGAGAAAGAATATACTAATACGCGAGATATTCAAAGTATATTCTGAGAATATATGAAAAATAATATACAACAAGAGATGTTATGGGATTATTCTCAATATATTATATCTGTAATGTATATTTACAGTATAAGTATAGAATATTCGAATGATATCATGTGCTGTTAGGGATGCTAATTGACGAACCGCTACTCACTAAGCGATCGTGTTTCTAAGGGTCATTGCAGAATACGTTGAAAATGTCCCGTTGCCAGTTGCCAACCCAAACAGCACCAAGTCAACTGTTAGTTGACTGTCAATCGGCAGAAAAAGTCAGTGAATGCTAATGATAGTGATGAAACGAATAAAATATTTAAGTGATTTCTTTATACTTATTTCTCTCTATAAAAATAAGAGATGTTCGAAAAAAGTACAATAAACAAACAAAAATAATGACAAATGAGAGAAGAAATGAAATTGAAACCGATTCTAGTGGATAATAATGTTATGATAACATTTTTTTTAAATGTTATTAATAAAGATGTATTAAGGCTCCAGAGTAGTCACCGCGGCCATCTTGAAATCGTGACGTCATAAGCGAGAAAGGACACCCAGATTTATATTGCGACTGACATCTAAATAAAAACATATTTGAATGAAATAAGACTACCAATCTCTTCAGCACACCTGTAAAAATGGACGGATACTAATCCTTTCCCTTGACTTTATAAATAGCCGTAAATTGAGTCCAAAATGAAGCCTTGAAAATGCGAAAAAACACGCGATTTGACAACTGTCGAAAGGAGAGGAAAATGTTACTTTCTAAAGTTTGTTCCTTATACAGCTTAGTATCCGTCCATTTTTACAAGTTTTCTTAATACATTGCACACCACAACACTAGCACAAAGCAAATAATTATGAAATGGGACGCAACGTAAATTGGGCTGTCATTTCTCGCTTACGAGGCCATTTTTCACGCCTTATAGTTCACCGATTTATAACAGTGAGGCGCTGCATGAGAATTTTGACATGTAGGTAACGTGTGGGTAATATGTCGATACCATGTAGGTAATGTAGAAATATTTAGATGTAGACATAATAATAATGACCCTTGAAAAATGGCAAGCAAAAGAAATAGGAATAGGGAAAAATATAGGAAAGAGAGGAAAGATATTATTTATTATAATAAAAAAAATTAATATTCAAAACTTCTGTTATATATTATTTTATTAATATTATTATTTTACATATATATTATTATTTATTATATATTTTTTTTTAATTTTTTTATATTATTATATTATTTTATTTTATATTTTTTATATTATTTTTATATTATATTTTTTTATAGTTTTTATATTTTTTTATAGTTTTCAATGATAATTAAAAATGAAAACTGACCCAGAGCCAGATTCTCGTCCTCTCCATCCTCCTCTTCCTCCTCTCCATCCTCCTCTTCCTCCTCTCTATCTTCCACCTCTCCATCCTCCTCTCCAGTCTCCTATATCGTCTCTTCTCCAGTTTCCTCTCCATCCTCCTCTCCATCCTCCTCTCTTCACTCTTGTTGAATAATATCTAATGAACACAGAAAACGTAGCAATTAAACAATTAAATTAAATGTACAAAATAGAAATAATTTTAAAACTTTTTATATATATTTAAAAATACATACTTTTTATTTCTTTCCTTTAATATAGTTCCTCCTCTTTTCTTCTTCTTTTCCTTCTCTTTTCTTTCATTTTCTTCGTCGTTTGCTTCTTCTTCTACACTCATCTCACTTTCTCTGTCCTTATCCTTTCTTCTTTCTTCTTTTCTTAAATCTTTTTCCAATCTGCAAATTCAATCATGTCATTTATTAAATGTTTTATTTACAGGACTTTAATTTAAAGAATACTCTAACAAAAAAAGAAAATAATCTAAAAAGAAAACAATACATGTTATATATATATATATATATATATATATATATATATATATATTTATATAACATGTATTGTTTTCTGTTTAGATTCTTTTATATATATATACACACACACATATACAGTGTTGTGCAAGGTATTTTATTTTCAGCACTGAGGTACAGGTACAGGTACAGGTACTCTGGAAAAAATGTACCGAGGCAGAGGTATTTCATAATATGAAATATCTCTACCTTAGTACATTTTTTGCAGAGTATCTGTATCTGTACGTCGATACATTTTTTCCAGAGTACCTGTACCTCCCTAGTAGCAGAATGACGTCAAATGACGTCTTAATACCGTCTTAATGACATCATAGACATCTTTAGACGTCATCTTGCTACCTGGGCTGTATGTAGGTACTGAAAATAAAGTACCTTACACAACACTGCACATAATATATGTATGTATATATATATATATATATATATATATATATATATATATAATAACACACAAACCTTTTTTTTCTTAACTCTTGTTCCTTCTCTTCCTTTTTCTTTCTCTCTCTTCTCTCTTCCTCTTTCCTTCTCTCAACTTCATTCCTTTTTCTATCTTCCTCATCTTTCTTCATCCTTTTGTCATTCTTCATCCTCTCTGTTTCTTTTCCCATCATTTATCTTTTCGGCTGGATCTATTTATATAATAAATAAAATTAATGTATAAATATTATATATACGTCACTACTTCACGTTATTGTTTTATTATAGTATATTCCGAATGATTTTCTATTATAATATTAAAAGAATTATAATTATACAAGTATTTATTATAATATTTACGTATATATATACTCACATGTTGCTTGCACCGCAGTAAAGCATGGACTGGTTTACATTAACAATATTCGCCGCTTCTCGCCGCCTTTTTCGCTAGTTTTTTGTTTTCGTCGCGCGCGATATCTTATTACATCTTTGTGTGCTAAGTACTGTAACAATCGAGCGATCTAATAGACAGCTCAAGTTTTCATTACTTTCATAAAGTGATATTATGGAAACGCGTGAAATTAGTGAAAAAATGTGCGACGAATTTAATGAACGAATTTATGGGAGAAGGCGCAATACAAAAAAGTACCGATTATCATGCAAGCGGCTAAGCAGACGAAAATCGTCAATAAATAAAAGGTAACATTATTTTATTAGTAGAAAAGAAAGTAGAAAAATTACCGTGCACACTTTTCGTTATATAGCCAAAGTAATGAAAGCCAGTGTACATCAATTATGGTAATTAATCTTGGTATCACGGATTTTATCACGGATGAACTATTTTTATAAAGTAGTACTGTCAGTACCGTAACTAGGGCGGGTACTATCAGTACTTTATTAGAAACGTACCCGAGTGAAGCAATAGAGCGCAAAGCTTATTATCAGATATTGTGTAAAAAATTTTTTTATTGAATATAGCACTCTTTATCTGCCGTTGACTCTGCACCATTCAGTATGAAGACGGCATTGCACGTGCACTTGAGTCCGAAAGTATCACGCTGCAAACTAGGGTTTAATTTCAATCTGTTCAATTTTTTTTCAAATTTTTTAAATGTTTGTTTTTATGTCTTATGTTGCATGTAACTGAGTCACAAATTATGGTTATTTATGAAAAACAAAATTAATGTTTATTTATTAAAAAAAAATAAATTGAAGTAACAAATATGCGGTTTTTAAAAGAGTAAAACAATTTTTCTTATTTGTAATATATTTTATTTATTTTAAACAAAATTACATATATATTTTATTGGTTAAAAACAAAATTATTTCATATTATTTTTTTTTTATTTGTTTATATTATTTTTTGTTGATTTTTTGGTATTATTAATTTTTTTCCTGTGTTTTTTTCTTAAAAGAATTATGTTAGTCAAAATAATTTTATATAATTCAACATTAATTCGTTTTTAAATCAATAAACACAATTTGAGGCCCAATTATATGTAAAAAAAATTGGAAAAAAAATCGAAAATAGGAATCGAACTTAGTTCGTAGCGTGATATTTTCGTATTCAAATGCTCGCGCTACACTGCCTTAATGGTGAATGGTGCAAAGTTACTGATACATAAGGAATGCTGTATTTATTAAATAAATGTTCTCAAAAACGGTTGAGCGTTTCATCTTTTTGCTACACTGCAGTATTCCTCTAATAAAGTATTATACTATAAAAAAAGCTAATTAAATATATATATATATATATATATATATATATATATATATACAGGGTGGCCTACACCACCCGTACACCCCTTTTCTTTCAAAATCTAAGCATTTTAGAAAAAAACGTTTTCGACAAAAATTTGATGATTTTGAGGGAAACATAAGATGGTGTCATTGGTTTGACCTTGGATGGCATCGTTAAGGTCAGGTCAAGGACACCTTTAATTTCTTTAACGGAACTACCTATTTTTTATTGCATATTCTTATAGCTTATGTCGAGAGCTTTCCAAAACACTATAATAAAGTATTTAATACTTTTACGTACAAAATAATGACAGGAATCAATTGGTATAAAGAAAACACATAGTTGTTTAAAAAAAAAATATGTAATTGTTAATTGCAAATTACATATTTTTTTCTTAAAAACAACTATGTTTTTTCTTTACACCAATTGATTCCTCCCATTATTTTGTACATAAAGGTAAGATTTTCTAAAAATAAATATTTTGCAAGATATTTAACGGTATATGTAAAATTAAGAAATGATTTCAAGCCTCATAATTCGGAAAGTACTTAATAAAAACTAACTGAATTATAGTCTTTTGGAAAGATCTCGACGTGAGCTACCAGAATATTTAATAAAAAATAGGGAGTTCCATTTAAGAAATTGACGGTGATCTGCACATGACTTTCAAATGACAACTCTCCCAAATCATTGCCACTATCTGATGGCCCCCTTCAAACCATACAACTTTTGTGTGAAACATTTCTTTCTAAAGTGCATAGTTTATTGCAATTTAATTACAATAAAAACAATATGCAAACGTTTTATTAATCTGAGATATTCGCGCATTATTCTCATCATTTCATTAATTTATAGGAGAAAAGAAAAATTGAAAAAAATAGATATATTGAATAAAGAAATTAATGTATTAAATAAAGAAATAATGCAAGTAGAGCAAAATAAGCATACTTTTCAGGATGATGTAATTATGCATGATAATTTAGTTGCAATGGATATCGAAATAAATATAGATGAGGAAAAATTGACACAAGAGCACAATGACACATTAGATAGTAATGAGCTAACTTTTCACCAAGATAGAATTATACATGGCAAATTAGCTGCAATGGGTCTCGAAATAGATACAGACAAGGAAATAACGACACATACATTAAGTGATAATGAATTGGGAAAAATATTTGAGGACAATGAGACTGAAGAAAGTGACACTTTAATAACAGATAACAATATAGATGCATACCGCCTAGAAAGTAATACTATGCCAGGAAAATGTATCGTAGATTTTGTCTATCTTTTTCAACAATTACATGAAAAATTTGATAACCATAGTCACGGAATAGAATGTAGTTTTCGTGACTTAATATTTATTGGTGCCAGAGCGTATGGACTAAAAAATAAATTTTTTTTCAAATGCCGAATGTGCCATTTTGAAAGCTTCGTCTGGAGTGAGCCGCCCTCTGACAAAAGTCTACATGTAAATATAGGGGCAGTGGCTGGCACAATACTAACTGGTACAGGATATACACAGTTACAAGAAAGTTGCGCTGCTATGAATATTAAGTGCATGACAAAGAAAACTTACGAAAAGGCCCATGAAACTGTTGCTGAAGCATTTGCAAAAATTGCGGAAGAAAGCATGAATGCTGCTGCGAATGAAGAACGTGATTTGGCATTACAACGCAATGAAATAATAAATGGAATACCACATATAGCAGTAAAAGGTGACGGAAGCTGGATGAAAAGATCATACAGAACAGGACGGTATGATTCTTTATCAGGTGTAGGCACAATAATTGGTGCACGAACAGGCAAAGTACTGCACATGTCTGTAAAAAATAAATATTGTGCAGTTTGTGTTACAGCAGAGAAGTTTAAAAAAGAACCTACAAATCATAAATGTTATAAAAATTGGGGTAGAGATTGTAGTTCAACAAGTATGGAAGCAGAAGCGATTGTAGAAGGATTTAAGAGAAGTATAGAGAAGCGCGGACTAATTTATTCCACATTTATAGCAGACGGAGATAGCAGTGTATATAAAAAAATAATACAAGCAAATCCGTATCCAAATGTTTTTATAGAAAAAATAGAATGTCGAAATCATTTATTGCGCAACTTGGCATCAAAAATAAAGGAAATAGCAAAAACAAAAGGACGTTTTGGCAAATTAAGAAATGTAATTGGTAATCGGATACTTCGAATTAGAACAGCTGTAACGAAAGCTGTAGAATATCGTTTGGAGGAGGAAAGTACAATGCAAGAAAAAATTAAAGCTCTCAAAATAGACGTGGATAATATAATAAATCATGTTTTTGGCGAACATAATGGATGTGCAAGAATAGGATATTTCTGCGATGGATCGCAAAAAGAAAACGAAGAAAATTATATTCCAGAATTAAAAAGATGTGGACTATATGAAAAGCTTCAAAATGCATTAAAATATATAAG